TAATTCGAAAGGCCCTAGGTAGCAGTCATCACACCACTCTTCTCAGCAATCTACGGTATTGATCAGATAAAAAAATAATGAAATCGTAGGGCGTAGCGTAACCTAAGAAAATATGTAAATACTACGTAAATAATGCAATAAAACCGTTCAACATAAACATTTTTTTCACTTATTTTTTATCCTATTCTCAAAAAATGCCATTACGGCTTTGAAAATAAAATACATATTTGAATTGAAAAATGAACTAAAAATGTTCTTTAAACTAGTAAAAATTTATACTTCCGAAAACTGAAGTAGAAATTTCTCGGAGATAAAAATCTGGTGATCTGGGAGGTCATTTGATCGTACCACGTGTAGATATCAATCGGCCAGGAAACGTATTTAGGAGAAATTGTATCGCTGATCATGCATTGTAACTTGAACAGCCATCCAGCCAGCCAAGTGTCTCTAAAATTAATAAGAAGTAGATGAAATGTTGGAATAAGCTTTTCGATAAAGAAGGGGAGTGTTTTTGGGTAATGAGTACGAACAGGAATACTTAGACGCTGATTTTCCCGAGACTAATCTAACATTGGATGAATTGTGTTTTTTGCTTGAAGAAAATGATAACTCATCTGTGAATAATACGTTTTTCAAAAACGAATCAATTTATTTTATTTTTCCATCATGGTACAACAAAATCCCATTCGTCTAATGTGGTCGCCGAAAAAAATTCCCTGTACTTTACAAAAACGGTAACCATTCCTTTTCAAAATATTTCGGACAATTCGGTCACTGATATTAATTTAATTGCTTCCCTGTTTTGATGGTTTTGAATTATTGGCTTTACACGTGGTTCATCGGAATTTTGGCAGTTCTGAACATATTCACATTTTTCGAACTTTCTTAAAATTCGATAAATGATGGTTTGTGAGGGAATCTACCTATTTCCAAATACAACAACGAATATATTTATTGTATCTCGAATGGAGTGACCATCAAAATACCAGATAGACTTGTGATCCAACACCAGACAGCGCTGGTTTGACTCAGCAAGTCTCATCAATGGTTCTAGGCTGAACCACTGAACTGTCCTAAAAACGACCAGCCAGAATTTTCCAAGGTCCATCTAGCTGCCTTCCGAGGACGAATCTCTTTCGGCGATCGAAGTCGAGGCTTGGCTTTGCAGCTGATCGCCTTGGAGAGCCTCGTTTATCTTTGATATTCGAGGATGGAGTCTTCTGTCAACCCCATAGATGGCATCTTCGTAAGGGTAGATGTCGTAGCCTTTACCAAAATATCACTTTGAAATTTGTCATGCAATGGAAGCTTGATGTGACACGCTGCATTTTATGCAGCGATTTGTCAAAAATTGCAGTGAGAAAAATTTTTTAATCCATTGATTACTTAGAATTCTCTCTGAATAAACGGTAAAAATTGTTTTCATTAATATCTTTATCAATAAATATCACATTTTTGTCCTTATGTATGACCAGTTATAAAGATTTTCTGGCGCACTGTTAACGGGTTTTCAATTTCGAACCAGCTAATCCGTATAATGCTCCTAACCGCCGGTTGTTGCAATTCCCATACTTAATAAAATATTTCGTGTGCTACTACTGCCACTGTGAAATTCCAATTTTTAATTACAGGATGTCGGATGTGAGTGGCCGAGAGTGAAGCCATTAAGTCTTGGAACTCGATTCGTTTATACCTGTTGTATTCAACCTTCGTAGGTCATCTTACGTTTATAACGATGTCACGGAAGATCATTAAAACATATCACTTTTGAAGTTCTAATGAAAAACCTAGGAACATGACTAATTTATGCGCTGTGTTTCTCGTTTACGCACTCAGACGAATTATTGTTCATTCAGATAAACTCCCTTTCAATAAGGGCATTTTGTTGACACTTGTTTTATTTTAGATCAAATTTGATTCATTTCTCACGAAAGTTATTTCCTCTCTCAGCTCGCAAAGATATCGAATAATAACGTTTTTGATGTAGTCGGGTGTACCACAAGGATCATACTCAGTATGATATTTTTTCAAATATTCATTAATGATTAAATAGAGAGGGTTATATTTTAACCTCGGTTACTTTGGCAATAAAGTTCAGCAATATTTTTTAACACTATACTAAAATATGAAAGTGACAGAGTCTCTAATAAAAATATTGCTGGATCTGTAACGCCCCCGACGGCCAGTTTTTTGATTTCACCTCTGCCATATTTCTTTATTTCCAGTTGTGACCACTATAACAAAATATGAAGATGGCAGAGTCTCTAATAAAAATATTGCTTGATCTGTACCGCCCTCGACGGCCGGTTTTTTGCTTTTACCTCTGACATATTTCTTTATTTCCATTTCTTAACACTATACCAAAATATGGAAGTGGCAGAGTCTCTAATAAAAATATTGCTGGATCTGTACCGCCCCCGACGGCCGGTTTTTTTATTTCACCTCTGACATATTTCTTTATTTCCATTTCTTAACACGATACCAAAATATGAAAGTGGCAGAGTCTCTAATAAAAATATTGCTGGATCTGTACCGCCCCCGACGGCCGGTTTTTTGATTTCGTCACTGCTATATTTCTTCGTTTCCTTTTGTTAACACTATAACAAAATATAAAGGTGGCAGGGTGTCTGATTAAAACGTTGACAGAGGTATACCGCCCCCTGATCGGATTTTTCATTTAGTTTCTACTATTTTCTATAATTTCCGTCCTTTCAAATATTCATGATGCCTTCAAATTACATTTTTCACTGTTTCGGGAAAGAGAATAAAAAAAACGAATTATTGCTGAACTTATTGCCAAATTAACCGAGGTATATTTTTAGGAGTGACTAATTTTTTGAGAAAGAAAGTTTTTGGCTTTCTACTACTTCATCTTGATACAAAAAATTAGTCACTCCTAAAAATATAACCCTCTCTATTTAAACAATATTCCTGTTTGCTGGGATTTAATCAAATACGTGAATGAATGACATTACCATGTCATCGATGACATAAGTAGATCAAACTTATTCCGTGACATAAAAACCGTAATTCATGAATGAATTGTGTGCTTTTTCGTATAATGATATCCAGATTGGTACTGATGAGCCTAAGGCAAGTGTCTTGCGGCGAAACATCGATGTCTACCAGTGAGGATGTCAGTGTTCCATATAAGTGCAATTTTTACCATTCATTTAATGTAGAATTCCTATGAATGTTACCTGATTTTATTTCATAACGAATGTTTGGAATACAAACTGAGTAGAGAATAGTGACTTCTGTATAATTCAGTGTTCATATAAAAGTATTTGTTTCGAAACAATGTTTCTTTCGTGTAATTCAATGTTTATATGAAAGTAGCTGTTTCAGGAGGGCTTTTTCTTCCAGTTTGTGTCTGAAAGTTACTTCTTTGCATGATCTACACATCCAAGTACAGAGTTACTTATTTTAAAATTGATAACTTCCTTTCTTTGGAAGATTCCCACATTTTTTGTATCAAGATGTAGTAGTAGAAAGCCAAAAACTTTTTTTTCCAAAAAATCATTAATGATGTTTCACGAATTGTTGAATCTAAATGTCTTCTTAACGCCGGCGATTAGAAAATGTTCTCCAGAGTTGGACATGCTAATGATTGATTAGCGCTTCAGTAAAGTAATGTTACGTTTTCAAATTAATTTCACTGCTACACTGACAGTACAACCCAAACACTTTAACAGAAACTTACTAATACTCAAATGTCTATCGCTTTATTAGAACACACACGGTCAATTAGACTTCTTTGATCTTCGTATTGTTAGTGTTTATGTATGGTAAACAAAGTATCTCGATGCCGATAGGGAAGTCTCTAGAAGTCTATCGAAGCGACGCGGCATCTAGAACAATCGCGAAGTGCAAGTCCAGTTTAGCGCGATTTCACAATCCCAAGTCACAATCGATTTACGACGACCAGCAGCGGCAGGCGTTATTTTTTTAGGGAAAGATTCACAACAGTACCTACTTTAGAATTTTCAATCATAAATATTTCTGAGTATATACAATCAAATCACTTTGGCACAATTTCTGTCAACTTGGAGTACGTTAGTAGTATTTAGAATTCTCAATATATTAACCGAAACTTATTGGTATAATAAGACGTTTTTAATTTTATTCTACAACATTATTCTTAATAGTATAGCAAATTCATTGAAATCTAAGAGAATACGCGACGGTAATGCATCTAGCCTTATCAAGTAACTCGGATGGCTAGGTTAGGTCAAAAGTGAGTGGGTTTATTCGACCCTCCACCGCACCCCGCCAGAGTTTATTGTGGCTCATAATTATTCACACTCGACCAAATAAACCCAGCTTCTCAACGAAGCCGCTTAGTTTATATGGTGAGTGATCTTTCAGGTCAGATGGTAAGAGTGCGGCTCTGCCAAACTCTGAAAACCTGATTCGGTCAGCAACGGGGCAAGCAACAAGAAAGTCTCGGACACATGGATGCATTCACCGCTTATTCAGTTAGTACTAACATTCAAAAGAAAGCTTTTGAAATTTTATGATATTTTAATCATAAGATTGTGAGGCATTGTGTACTTTTTTCAAATTAAGCAATATTTCCAAATTGTCAAAATATTTGACGTAGATATATATTCTACCTTACTCCACGATTCAAATAACCAACTGGTTACATGGTTACATGGGGGGCGGGAGGTTTAGATCAACAGAAGGTATTTACTTTTTTACATATATGGCAACTCACACATTGCCTATGTATGAAAAATGCATACAACAATACGAAAGCATGTGAGGAGGGGTAAGAGCTTTGCTTACTTTTGCTGACAAGGGGGGGTAAATAATTAGAATAAATATGCTTACGTATCACGAGTATGGCCCCCCAAGTAGAGGGAGTTTTAAACTAAAACAACTAGTATACACAATATAATACTTTACATCTATTTTTTTTTGGCCAGACATACATTCGATTCTCAGTATCCCATAAGATCTCTTAGAGGATTGCTATTTTTTTTATATTGCTACAGATGATGGAACGAAACCCTACACGAAACACACGACAAAGTGGAAGAGAGAGCGACGGCAACGTCCACCCGAATATCCTCGGAAATCTGACCCCAAATATTCAGAGACGTTTGGTGCGGATCCATCCAGTCCAATCAGTTATGATCTACCAGTTAACGCCGCCAACTCAAATGGCGTCAAAACTTCGCAAATCCAACCAGATTCACCACTAGACATGACTGTTAGGCAGAGAGGGCTTCCACCTTCGTATGCACAAACTATCAGCAATCCTGGATACAGATCCAGTTACAGACCTTCGGTCATACACAACGGAGTGCCACCAACAAGGGAGGAGTTACCTTCGGGTGAGTTTCAGATTTTCAGTCGAGAATCCATCAGTTCTGTTTTAATAATTCATCGATGTCGGGATGTATATTGAAGCTCATGTAGACATGCCATGATTTCGTCAATCGTTTTCTCTCTTCAAGCTATTCCACGATTTGTTCGGTTCTGTTGAAAATATTCGAAATTCACTTACTGATATATTCGACTTCAGTTCAATACAGCACGAATTGTCCATAAAGTGACAACTCACAAATATTACAAAACATTGCTGCAGGGTTCGGTGTTGAATTAGCCATATAGTCGAGGTGGCGTTTGCCAGTGGCGTTTGCCAGTCGGAGAGCCGTGCCCTAGTATTTGCGGGCTGCTTTCCAAACTATCCATCTGGCTAAATGGTGCACACCTATTTAGTGAAAAATTTGTGTAGAATAAGCCACATCGGTAGAAATTGTGCGCAAATCGCCTGATTACCTTCTGATTGGTAACACTGTGTGACGGACACAGGTCTTATTCTTAGGATTAAAATAATTCTGTATTAATTGATCGGTCCTTGAAGACTACTATATAGACCAAAATTAAGAGAAAGACTTCAAACAAAAAGACTATGAAGTTTAAATCGGGGCTTAATAAATTTGGGATTTTTTTCATATTTCCATGTGGAAGGTTTTTGAGTTCATTTTCAAGGTCGAAATATCATTCAAAGTTTTTGGGTGAGTACCAAATAAAAAATATTTGCTGAAATCGAAAGGGATAAGCTTGGAATTTCTCATTAATTAATAACATTATTGTAACTATAGTAAATGAGCATGCATTTTTTCTTAACCATCGATTTGTATTTTTAATTACTTCCGTGAGTTAGAACGTTATTACCTCTAATGCTCATTGAAACAGAGAGAGTAGTTTTTCTTAAACTTCTGGAAGTTGTACCATGTGGAGAAACCACAATGTAAATATTAGAGGATTGTGTTATTGATACAATTTAGATACATTGTGCTTCATTTATCCAAATTGAAATGGAATCACATATTTTTTCTAAAAGAATCTATGATATATAAAAAAAGTAAGAATTGCTTATATTCGACAGCTCACGTTGAATGACATCCTAATCCCTAATTTTATGACGAGTCTATATAAATAAATAAATATTCTTGAAGTATTTCAAATCCTAGAAAACTTCTTGATGGTGAATTGGATATCTTCACAACCATCAAAATTGTTTTATAATTTGATGATGCTGAAACAGTTTCATTTTGCTGGTATTTGGCCCGAAATGTTAATTAATTATATTAGACAAACACAATACAGTTGTAGACAATGAAAGTGTTTTATAAATTCGTCATAGAAACACTTCATAAAATAAAATTAAAAAACCGTTATAAAATAGTCACGAAATTATCACAGAAACGTTTTTACAACTCACTTAAAAACATATTTTTCCTATGAAAGTGAATTGTTCTGTAGCAGTTTTATAGCACTTTTTTGTGAGATTTGTAGTATCTTCATAAAACTATTTCAAGCTTATTTTATAACTTCTTCCTGTAGCTTTAATGAAAGTATTTTATTGTAATGCTTTCNGCTGTTTTATGAAAACATTGAAAACATTTCTGGGAGAAATACAGTTTTATAATTTGTTTCTCCAAAATGTTTTCACAACTATTATGAAATATAAAATTGCTAGTTGGGTTTGCATTTTCATAGTACTTTTTTCAGACGATAAATTATTTTAAATCAGACTTGACATATTACGAATTGAAAAGACTTTGGTTTTGGTTATGTTACCACCTTTCACACAAAATATCTAAAAATTTGTTTCAAATTAAATTTCAACTAATACAACAATTTTTGTTTTGAGGGTCCAATTTAGATATTACCAAATTCTGTTTTCTCGAGAAACATGATTATGGAATATTAAAAATAATTAATAATTTGCTTTTGCTTCTGTAGGGATAATCAACAACAAATTAAAGTTATTCAAAATAATGTATCCCTCGATAATCGGTTTCAGATATCCTCACAAAAAAATAGTAAGTTGTGAGATCTAGGAGATTTAACTGGTCATTTCACTGGACCACTTCTGCAGAATCACCTCTTGAGTGATCATTTTTTCAAAAACTTAGGTCAGGGGCAGTCGTTTTTCTCAAATATAAGTATCTTGAAATCAGTACATCCCTTAAAATACATTTTGGTGTGATCAAAGAATGTAAAGTTTCACGCCCGCGGATAACTGTGTCCAAGCTATTTTCCAGTTTTTTTGGCCATGGTCTGCAGGTTACAGACCAGACTGAAATAATTTCAGAAAAACACGACGTGAACCCCATGTTTAGGCCAACAAAAACTACCAGAGGAAGTCTAAGGCCAGTTAAGGACCCCCGAGAGCATTAAGCAACAACCTGGATATGCCGGATTCCTTGTAGCTGAGTCGGTCTACATTGAAACCACGAAAAAAAATATAGATACCCGTCTCTCTGACAAATATGCTGTAGCCAATAAACATTGTACTTTCAGGTATATAATCTTTTAAATCTTAAATAAGTCTTAATTTACTTCGTGACGTCTATCCTTTTTTTGAAACTTTCAAAACACTACTAGTTGATACTACAAAAGCCTTAACTATTTTCAGTTTGCAGATAATGTTCAACATTTATTTTGAAAAAAATTACAGAGGTAATAGGAGTTAATATATTTTAAATAATGTTTCCACTGTCCTGTATTTTGTCCTAATGTTGGAAGGTAAGTAGTCAAACTGCCTCACAAAACGACACATTCCAAGTATAACCGGGGTGAAACAAAAAATTAAGTATTCTCACAAATCTCTGAACACACTATGATGAAATTTTTCTATGTTTTCACTTATTAACCACATGCAGACGTAATAAATGAATTATTTGTTTTTCAGGTATATCTATGTGCGACCCGATAATAGATGAACATTTCAGAAGATCCTTAGGAAGTGATTACCATACCGTTTTCAGGAATAACGCTTCCAAAGAAAAATCTCCTCCGAAGTCTCCTCCTAAAGTGGAAAACTCTCCGACAACTAGTGTCATAGAACTCATGGATAGTACGGGGTTGTCAGTAGACGATCATTTCGCCAAAGCTTTAGGCGATACTTGGGCTAAATTAAACAGAAAAGAGCCCGAAATGAAAACTAGTTCCAGTGAAAATGGACTCGTTTCCATATAAACCTCAGAAATTGTATAACATTTACTATATTTATAGTCTTACAGTAGTCATTGCATTAGTTATGAAATAAGGCCAATAGTGTTGTGATTTGATGAAAATGTTCATTCTTGGGGTCTATATTGAATATTATTATCGATTATGAATAACAAATTATGATCAACAACACTAAAGTAAATTACCAGAAGTTTGGAGCGGAAAGTGATTGGTTGAATTACAGTGCTTGGTGTCAAGTCAAAACATACTGATTCATGTATTTCAAAAACATATTCAGTTATACAGGGTAATTCAAATTCGAACCCCACTATTGGGATCTCCTAAACTACAGGAGATATGTCGAAGTTTAAATTAGGTCAAAGTTGCGTTTTTTTGCGCTTAACAAAATACTGGTTTGAAACTTGGAAAATTCCTAGTATTTCCGAAAATATCCGGAAAAAACTGAAAAGTCAGAATTTTCGTTTTTATTTTTTTTAGCGTTATTTGACAACATAGCTCAAAACAAAAAACACATTTTCGTTGATACTTTTTTCCAGCTACATGTTTTTATGTTCAGATTTACTATCCGACGTTTCGTGTTTGTCTTTCTTTTATGGGCCATGTTGTTTTTTGTACATAAAAATAGTGATTCCCATTTTGTTTCATTGATGTATAATTTGTTATGATTTGCTCTTCTGAAACGACAGGTATTTAAAAAAACAACTTCATCTAAGATGGTCATGACTCCATCGAAAAATTTTATGTAATAAACACTAGTTGTCAGAACTCATCAAACATCATAAGTTTGCACAAATACTTCAGTCGAAATGTCCTCATTCTCAAATGAAGAAAAACGAGATATGTTGAAACTTTATTATAAATTTGATAGGAATAGTACGAAAACAGCACAAATTTATTTTGAATTATATCCGGAAAGACAACAGCCGGATAGAACATTATTCGGAAGTTTGGAGTAAGGTGTGTTTCAAAAACCAATAATGAAGTACTGAAGCAGAACAAAATATTAGAAATAATTTATTAGCCGAGGTGAAATAATTGTTTTTTTCATATTCGAAGAAGTATAATTACTTTTGATACTTTTTTAGATAAATACGGATCCTTCCAAATCGCATCAAGTCTCGGCAGAAATGGATGTGCCACAGACGAGCGTTTGGAGGGAATTAAAAAATTGTATGCAATGTTGTAAGATACATATTCCACAAAAATTATATCCATGTGATCCTGAGAGAAGGATAGAATTTTGTAGCTGGCTCTCGAATAGGGTAGACCCTACAAACTTCTTGAAAATCATTATTTGGACCAACGAAAGTACTTTTTTGGAGTGAAAATAATCCACGACACTTCACAGAAGTCAGACCACAAGTTCGGTTTCGTTTGAATTTGTGGGCTGGAATTTATAACGACAAAATACTTGGACCTCATTTCTTCTCTAATACTTGGAACGAGGAAACCTATCTTTGGTTCTTGAGAAACAAATTCGAAGAATTCGTTTCCCCTTGTTGAATATAACAACTGCTGGTTTCTTTCCTAATAGATGGTCAGGAAATTCTGGACCAGTGAGGTGGCCGGCAAGGTCTCCTGATCTTACAATTTTTAATGCTTTCTTGTGGGACACTTTAAAGAACAGAATCTATGGAGAGCAAGAATATGACACAGTGGGTGAACTTAGAGAAAATATCATCACGCAATTCATGTTTATCGGAAGAATGGATATTGTTAGGGCTGTCTTAATTGGAGATGACGAGCTCGCTTATGTATTCAAGAGGAAAGACATCATTTCGAACATTGGTTATGATACTTTTCGAGCATTTTTAACAAGCTCATGATTTCATTGTTGGTCGAATTTGAATTACCCTGTATAGTGCTAATCAAATTCGTGTCTATACATGTGGATATTTTAAACAGCAAGACAGTAGGATGAATTGTACCAAATTTATCTATTTTCAGGTATTATTGAATAATGCCATAAAATAAACTAACTCTATTGGTTCCGAGGATATATGGAAAGAACCAAAAAATAATAATTTTTGGTTCTTCATTATTATATGAAGATTGCTATGAAAAAACAAGTACGCATTTGAAATTTCAAAGTTGAGGAGGCCATGAATGTGCCAAAATATATAAAGTCAGCTAAAATTCTATAACGAATACACAATTCAAATAATACAAATAAGTTCAATGACATACATTGGTTGTATTCCATTAGGGTTCAAATAGTTGGGAGAAAATTTTCCTTTCATTTTCATTTATATATTTCTTTAACTTTTTCTTGAAGTTTTGTTTACTTTTGAATCAATTTGTCAGGAACGTTACAATATCTAGAATACAGCGTGTTGTACAGAAGACTCATTGTTGAATTTGATCTCATGGTGCCTGATTTCATCTATAGGCTATATCACACTGCAATCTATTGAAAACACTTTCCCAACATCAGAACAAAAATTTACGGTCTCTTGACGCGCGTTTCGATAACCAAGTTAGCGTCCTCAGGAGATCCTTATGACTAATTTTTATTACTACTACATTAGTTTTTTTATATCCTAGTAGCCTAACCATTACCTGTTAGTATTACCTAACTACACGTGTTAGTGTTACCTGTCTACTAACTGTTATTGATCCTATGCAAAACTACCTGTTTTTAATACCTGAATAGAGACAAAGGTACTATTTCAAACAGTCCTTCGTTTGGTCTCATATGTAATAATATTAACATAGAGAAATAATATCTCTTGAATATTTTGAATATAAAGGTAAAATTTTTAGAGAAATTTTTAGAAGATCGTAGAAGGTATTTGTATGGTAGGTATTTGTGGAGGACATGTACTTTGTATATTTTGAATATATATCTGATGGTCGTCCAAAAAATATCAAGACTATTCATAAAATATCCATGATGATATGCATCTATCAGGTTTTTAGAGTTCGGCAGAGCCGTACTCTTATCATCTGACCTAAGAGCTGGGTTTATTTGGTCGAGTGTGAATAGGTGTGAGCCACAATAAACCCTTGCGGGTTTCGGTGAAGGGTCAAATAGACCAACTCACTCTGGACCTAACGTAACGTTTCTGAAAAATCAATTCTGGACCAGAAAAAATTAGTTGCAATGATTTTTCATTGAAGGAATAACTTCAGACTGAACAGACAAGTATGACACAGTGACACTCAGGGTTTTGAAATATTTATGTCAAATCATTTCCGAGAAAGAAAAATTAATTGTAAAGATTGTTTATTGAAACAATAAGCTCAGGCTGAATATAAACGAATTCCAAGGTTCCCAAGACTGTAAAATACAGTTTTCATCTTTCTCATCAATTGAAAGCTGAATCTCTGCCATTAGTTTCAACTAGGAAGAAAATGTTTGCTGTTTCTGGAAATATAAGTATTAGGATGAATTCCACTGTATGGTAACGATATCAGCTTTTTTTGGATACCTTCTGTCAAATTCAAACCAATCCCTTTCATTCTGGAAATATTCATCAAGGATTATAATAACACATTGGATCCAGAAATTTCGTAATTCTTCCCACTTTATTGATATCATTCAAGGTATCTTTTTAATATTTTTTAGTTTCTTTCAGGGATTTCAAATCAATTTATATCATATTAGACAACGGAAGTCCGAACTAATGAAATGCACAACGAAACATTGTCAACCACCTTCAAACAAACTATTTCAGGGAGTTACCTGTAAACATCTATTACTAATTAGATATTTATATTATTCTGTTGTTCCTCAATTAATACGTTTAACACATATTCACATACAATATTGAAATTGGGCACTGTCGCCAATCATCTTTGAACGAAAAATAACTGAAAGTTAAAATAATTCTTCATAATAACTATTGGAAAGTAACCAAATTGCAGAACTCATTTATATTTTCGTTGCATATAATTTTTTTTGCCCAGATATTTAGTGAGAGAATTAATCTACTTGAATTCTGGTTAATGGTACTGCAAATACCATGATGCTGCCTAGGTGGCACGTTGAGTTATCAACATAATCTACCCAGTGCGTGATGCTAATGACCATAGAGTTCATTATTTTAGGGTATTCAACCCCAAAAATTGATATATTCTTTTTTATGACTTCGTATGTTGGAAATAATGAAATTTTAAGTCCAAATTTGTTTGTTCAGAATTTGGAAAATATCTGAACAATAAATCAAGTCTAATTAGGTGGCTTGATACATGAATGATCCATTTTCATTGGGAATTTTGATAAAAAATTATATTAAAAAGAATCCTTTGCATGATTAAGTGAAAGGAAACTAACACACTGAAAGTTAGTAACTTAAAAGTGTTTGTTCAGACAAATGCATATATTATTTAATGTATTCATTTTTGTAATAAATCATCGATTGTATTGAAAAAAGTGTTTTGTTCAAGCCTAGTTTCACCATCAACCTCGAACTAGGTAATCTAAGACTACTTTCAGCTGAAATTTCAATGGCCATCAAGTATTGTTTCCCATATTATTCGAAATTTCACCAGCTCTGCAATAATGCTATTTATAGTCATCTGTTAGATTGGCGAAACATGTGTGAAGAGTCAGTACTTTTGTTTTAGGGTAGAAGTATTTTGAATAGATTAAGTTTACACCAGACAGATTAATTTCAATCCAGGATTAGGTGAAATACTAATCTAACAGGATATCCTTCACAAATTAATCTTATCTTAAAATATTCCTGATATGCCATATAAAAAGTATACTATTGTACTCGCGACAAATTGCCATTAGTGTAAATTGAATTAATTTCTACAAAAGGGACAGTTTCTACTTATATTTGAAAATAGTTGAATATTGTCATCGTAAATGAGATGAGTCAATTTGGTCACCTCAACAAAGAGTTTAATGCATCTAGATCCAGAGACCTGAGTAGGTTTTCCTATATTTGCTCAGGTTGTTCACTAAAAAAATCTCTTATTAATTGATGTAGATTATTATCAACACAGAGAGTATCTTCGATAAGAAACTGATGAAGCATTTTTGACGCTTCCACCGACACATCCTCATTGATTTCTGAAAAGAACGATTATATTCTCATCTCGAAATGTGCCAATGTTGTGGAAGCCATATCAGGTAGGTGTGGGTCCAGTGATCTGTTCAGTAATGAAAAAATACAATTAATTCGTTTCCATCTTCGGCAAAAAATTTGATCGCGAATTGAGATACAAGTCAATGACTCACTTGTCAAAAACAGAAAAAATACGATATTCCTTGGAATCATTACAGATGAGAACCTCGACTGAAGGAGTCACTGTCAAAGCATCGTAAACAAAGCATCATAAAAAGTCCCCAAATATTAATGTTGTATCGCAGCTTAGCAGCTTCTACTGTGTTTGTGGGGCAACTCAATGATGCTTGAAGATGCTTATTAGAATAGGTAATTACTGGAAAGAAAAGAAATCTATCGTGCAGACCAATTTTTGAAGAATTAGTTGTTCTCATTCTGCCATGTCTACTTATTTTGGAATCATGTTTGTACATATTCAATAGCAAGAATATTTTCATAAAAATCAGAGATATTCACTCAAAAAAAAACTAGGCAAACAAATGATTACTATGAGCCCTGTTGTAAATACCTACAAAGTGACAACCAATGCTTCTTTACACCTATGCCTGAAACTATTTAGTAAAGTTCCCTGTGATTATAAAACACAAATCGGTCAACACAGTTGAATTGAAAAAAAACTGGAGAATATTTTATTAGAAAAGTGCTTTTACTCACTAGCTGAGTTTCATGATGAATATTCCAACAGTTATTGCTTTTGTGCATAAGCTGTAGTTAATATATCAACGTTGTGTATGTAGAGTTTTTATTTCTATGTACTTTTCTTTGTAATTTTTTAGTATTTCTGTATTTTTTTATGATCTAGGATAAGCATGACTATTCTTATACAAATTGTGAATTTGTCAAAAAGAAAATAAATCTTAGTGCTACCTACTACTACTACTACAACCAGTATTATTTTCATATCACAATTTTTATAAGATAATACAAAATACAAACAATAAGTTAATGTCTTACAGATTGTCTTTTGGAATGATAAAGATATAGTCATGGTAGTATATATTTATGATATATATTGGAAGTGATAATAGTCTGATATGTGAACGATTTTTCATAAAAAATAGTGGAATGGTTGGGTACATGTAATTGGCATTTTCGCCAAATCTTCTGGTATTTCATTTAATAAATAGTTTTTAAAAAAAAGATATATTTGATGCAACTTTCGCCTTTTAAGCATTTTCAACCATCAGATGTCATTAATATGAGATGTCACATTCTCCCGATTTTTGATACTACAGATGTACTCAGTACATGCATTTTGGACTAGTTAAATATTGATTTACACAGTGTAATTTTATTTTTTTCATTAAGTTACTGCCTAGTGGAATATAATTTTCTCCGTATTGCAAAGTACGGAAGCGCAGAATGGCCAACGGAAGCACAGAAGGGCCACATATTTTTATTATTTGTTTCTTGGAAATTACAACTTTGAATTTCGAAATTTCAACTTTTATCTCGAAATTTCGACTTTAATCTCGAAATTTCGACTTTAAACTCGAAATTTCGACTTTAAAATGAATATTTATTTATTTTTTGCACTGTTAAATCCACGCTCCTCGAAGCATGTATCCATTTCTTACATCTAACCTCATTAATATGACATTTTATAAATGGTATAAAAACACGTTTTCTTCCGGATATCGATTATCCAACGTACAATTCGCAAAACAGCAATGCTTTGTTGGCATTATTCTAGCACAAAATAATTTTGTATATCAGATTTATATTTTTAAATCATAAATTAATATTACATAAATAACATTGTGTTTACATGTGAATAGTTTATGTTTGTCCCTACTACTAGTGCTGCCTCTCGTGACAAGTTCGCTGTACTATTCTCAGGAAAAAGTCTCATTTCGACTTCAAACTCAAAATTTCGACTTTAATCTCGTAATTTCGAGGATTTTAACCTATCATTATATCACAATTTGATCATCAACTTGACGCATTTTATTAATAGTTTGTGCCGAGTATTCTTTTAGTAAGTATTCGTTATCCGGCGTATTCGACATCTTTTTCACTATTTGAATTCGGTCGAATCACTCGGTTTTGGTTCGAGAAGGTATTTCTATTTTCTTGGCTACACGATACGATATAGGACTAAAAGACGAAACTTCTTAGGTAAGATTTATGTTGTATTATAACTCAAAGTGATCCTACAAAGAATGTGTTGAATAAAGATGACAAAATAAAGCAATTAAACTCCAAATCAACATTTATTTTCAAACCTCAAATCAAAACAATATTTATTTTTAAACTTTATTCAAACCAATATTATTTTTAAACTTAAAATCAACATTTTTTAAAACCTCAATCGAATCCACATTTCTTTTTGAAACTTATATAAACATTTATTTTATTACATTACGCGCTTTTTATTAGCTTCACTTGTATGTATGTATGTTTGTTTATTTGTTCGAAACTCTCAAGCTCGAGATCTGTTTTTGACAGAATTATCGACATTATTGCTTGATTTATTCGCGGGCAGATGGCACTGTACGTAACCTCCTTGATATAATTCGAACTCACTTTACATGTATTTCTTCATTTGAAAAAATGATTTTTTTAACTCATTTGTAACCCTCCTTTGCGCGCCTGCTGCTTTGGGCTTGGTAGCTGATTTTCAGGCTCCCTAGCCGGAATCGGAAAAAATCAATGATCATTTTTCTAAACAATATACGGCTGATTCATCCCAAAGTTTAGATGAAATAAATATAGTTTAAAAAGACTAAAAAACACGCTTTTATAGCATACGAAACTAAGAAATGAAAAATATAGTTTTAAAAAACTAAAAAACACGTTTTTAAAGAACATCGAACTAAAAAGTTGAGAATATTTTTCAAATAAGCTTAAAACAATAACGAATGAAAAATACTAGTATAATTGTGAAAAAAGCGTGGGCGCTTTGCGGCATATTTTTTGTATTAGCGCCCGTCGCTTTTTTTCACAATAATACTAGGTAGTATTTTTCGTTCGTTATTGTTTTTAGCTTATTTAAAAAAAATATTTTCAACTTTCTTTAAAAGCGTGTTTTTTAGTTTTTTTAAACTAAATTCATTTTTAAACCTCAAATCAATATTTAAACCGAATGATTCGGCCGAATATCCGGTTCGGTGAAAGTTAAACCGAATAGTATTCGATTTTCCGTGAAACCATTATTCGGAGCATCCTTATTTATTAACAAACCACTCTGACAGTGGTCTGAACAACCACTGTTTCATGGTGGCACGTTCTATGACGACGGACATTCACAACACAAAACTGAGTTTCTTCTCCAACATGGCGTCCGAGTACCTTCTTTGTGGACGATTGCTGTCAGTACGTCCGTCCACCACCATATCAGAAATGAAACTCAAAACATTTTCTCACATATTTATTTACCATGAAAAAAATGTTTTTCATATTCCAAGCCGTATCACATCATTACTCACAAAGATAGATAAACACTATCGAAATACTTCCAAGAGTTACAAACTCTCTCTCTTTCTGGAACATGTTTTCAGCTCATTCATGGTGATGCAACGTTTTCGTTACATCCCAAATAATAAGCTGAAAATACCAATTTTGTTTCCAATAGCTAGCCCCATGGTTTTTACACGAACCCTCAACTTGCCCTCAGAACAACTTACCCTCAGAGCAACTAGCCCTCAGAGCAATTAGCCCCATTTCAAGTAGACAGTTGACAGCTAACAGGAATTCATAAGATTTCTCGGCGGGTAGAATAGGGAATATTGCACTCGAATTCTTATTATATCCACTGAAAAGAGGATTTCGAGGCGACGAATTGGTGTTTTTAAAAATGTGTACATCGGAAATTTCAACCATAGATCTCATGATTATGTCTATGAGTTCTGTGATTTTGACAAATGACAGAATGTTTTTGGTAGGTCTGTTCAATTTTGAAATATAAAAAAAATTATACCTGCACTGGAATTACATTTGAAATAATTTTTTTTCTGATTGATTCGGCCGTTACTTGATGAAGATCTATAGTATTTTCAAAAACTACACCTCACAATTTGATCTCCACAAACTTCATTTGAAAAATATATCACATGTTTCGCTAGCACAGTAACTTTGTCAAGTGATTTGAATAATTCAAGTTGTTCTTATATTGATAATAATATTAATATGAAAAAAAATTAATTTTTAATTCCAACAAATTTTCACAATTTTTTTGGGGAAGACGTATATGTTGACATCGTCCTCTATTCTGTGTGATAATGTTGAAATATTTCACCTTCCATGCGGTGTTCGTGGCAGCCATTTTATTTTCAGAAGTTTTGCGTAATGGACAAATTCAGTACCCCTATTCAGTGTGGCCACTATATAATTTTCGGGTCTAAATCGACTGACATTTTCTAGGCCTTTTTTGGAATAATTCAAAGTCGGAAGAGATACAATTTGTAATTTTTTAGATTCCTGGATGTTCCCGAATATATGAATCTAAGTATTGAAGCTGATATGGACAAAAATAAAATATCCTAGGGAATTTTACTTTTTAAGTTGTTCAATCGTTCGAAACCTTCAACCTATATATGTTTACCTGTTGTCACAAACATAACATTTCAGTGTTCACTTTGTTTTTGTCGAGTAGTTACGTTTTGATAGTGTATTCTGTAGGTGTTGTATGATATCTTTTTCCATACCATTCTTATTATCAGAGAATGTTCTAGGTGCCCCATTGAAAGATACTTTATTGATTGAAGACCATTCAGTTACAGAACTCCAAAGATGGTTAGACTTTTTCTATCAGAACGATCCTGTTCTACTGTATACAATAAACAATAAGTGAATACAACAATAACATTTCATATGGTATATGACATGTGACGGTAAAATGACAGGATTTTCACTATTAAACAACGTACAAACTTAAAATTCCTTGGGATTTTTATTTTTGTCCATATCAACTTTAATACTTCGATTTTCATATCAGGGAACAACCAGAAATCTATAAAATTGAAAATTCTATCTGTTTCGACTTTGAATTATTCCAAAAAAGGCCTAGAAAACATCAGTCGATTAAGACCTGAAAATTTTATAGTGGCAACACTGAATAGGGGTATTGGAATCGTCCATTTGGATAAGGATGGCTGCGCCTTAATACGTATCCAGAAAACCCACTGAAAGAACGCATGCGCATAATGGCGTCTTGCTGTTACGGATTTATTGTTTCTGTATGCAGCATCTAATTTTTAATGATATGATATGAATATTTCAATTCGTGAATGCCCCTCAATCTTATTACATGATATGACTGACACCCCTAAGTAAATTAATATTTTGATAATTTGAGACTGAAATAGTTTTCATTTTGATTCAACATGATTGATCGTTTGCTGTGGGTTGTTGGCCCTTGGTCAGCAAAATTACTGGTTAGAGGAGCGCCATTTTATTAACCTTTTAGTTTTTAGGTGGGGGTATGTGAATTTGTTGTTAAATATGTGTTTCATTAAGATCATATGAGGATTATCTTTACGAAATATTCCAGAGATGAATACAAGGTATGTTGAAGTCACTATCTGAAATATTTTAAGACTTTCCAATCATTCTGGGATTAGACAAGCTGGTCATTACATTGGCTTGGTGTCCTTAGTCCTGGCAATTAAGTACTTGACTTTAAGAATGGTGTTATGAGACAAATATTTATGTTGTTGTATTTTCAATGTATTACTTTAATATTGAAGAATTAATAACCATCTTCAAATTTTTTTTTTTTAGATACTTGGAATAAACGAAATTCGGCATGGAAAATGGTTCAAACGGCCCCCTGTCAGAAGTTGAGGTGTCGGAACACACAAATAATGGAGTAGGGTCCTTCATAATGTTAAAAGATCCAGATGTGAATGTTACTGTTTCAGAAGACAAAACAAACCACACAGAAAGGAATAAAGTAAACGGTGATAATATTACACAGAGTTATAACAGTGAAGAAAATTCTTATAGTTCAGAAAGTGATGCTTTAGTAATAGATGAAAGTATCCCAAAAAAGCAGAAAAAGTCTGAGAAGAAAACAAACGTGAAGTCAAAAGTTAACAGCGAAGAGGAAAACTTGAATTTCACCTCAGAAATTCTCACACATTCTAACCCCTATTTCAACGAATCTCTCTTTGAATTATCTCAGTTGCATAATAATTCTCATGAAGAACAATCTTTCAATGAAGGCTCCAATATTGAAGGTAAATTAGAAAAAAGTTGTTCGAAACATAGACAAAAAAAGGGTAAATGTAAGCCAAAACCAAAATTGGAATATGCGCAATATCTCGGTTTACAACCTACATTGAAATTTAAGTGTTCAAAGTGTGGTAGAGCCATTTTTGAGTCTCTATCAAGTCTCCAGGAACATGTTTTACAGTGCAATGAGGAGAATGTGCAAGAAATAACGGAGAATTCATGTTCAGGATTCAAGTTAACTCGAAAAGTATTCTTGTGCGCTACCTGTGGAACATATTACGAAAATTGGAACTTGTATATGCACATGCTAGAGTTTCATAGACGTTATATATGTTTATATTGTTTAGGAATGTTCTCAGTGTTAGAAGACTTATGCCAACATATTCAGTCTAGGCATAATATTGAACCAGGTCATAAAAATACCCTTGATGAATTTTTTAATGTTTACAATGAACCTTGCTATGTAGTTTGCTGTGAATGTAACAAACTCTTCAGTGAACAGGACAATTTTTTCTATCATAATTGTAGTAATAGGAACAAATTTAAAAAATTCATTAAGCAACAAATTACACCAGAGAATCATGTAACTGGTGAGTCAGAATCTGTGGCTGAAATCAACAAAAACGATAGTGCTGAAAATATTGTTAAGAGCTCTAAAAGTAATGAAGATACTATTATGGATAATGAAGATATAGTAGAGAATAGCAAAGATCATAATCAGGAGGAAAATGTTGGAGTAATTGATGATATTGCTATGGATACTAGGGAAAGTTTAACTCAGTTGGCCTGTGAAGAGAAAAGCAGTAATGCGGTCTGTCATGAATTTACAGTTGATGAGAAAAATAGTCAAGATTTTGAAAAATCTAGAGAAGTAAATGACAATTCTGAAAACTATTGTGGGAGTGACATAGACAAAGAATCTGAAGATATTCAAAGAGTAACAATGACTAATGAAAACCCACCAGAATATGAAAATACCCTTGGAGTAAGTAGATCTAACATAACTGATGAAAATTTCGAAGAGCTTAATGCTATGGATAATGCCAATGATGAGATGGAACCAGAGACTCAAAACAGTGGTAATGAAGAATTGTTGGAGAAGTTTACAGTAGCCACAGATGATGAAATTGATGATGAAATGGTCAATCAGATGGAAGGTTTAGAAACTCGTAAAGTACCAAAATTATCACTTAAATTACCTAAACGAGGGTCATATGTTGAGCCAGACCCAGAAGACAGTGATGATAGTGAAAAACTTATGATGGAAGTAGACCAAATAGAAAGTGAGAATGAGAATGAAATCGATGACAAAAGTCAACAAATTGAGAAACAAGAATTTGATGAAGAGGACAAAGAAGAAGACGATGACCAAGCAAAAGAGAATGGCCAAGAACATAATATAACGGAAGAACCTACACATTCTGATCTATATCAAGTAGCTGGATCTGATATTCCCATTATAGAACTAGAACTGGAGCAACCCTTAGATAAATTTGATCCTAGAATTTTATTACAGAAATGTTTGAAAACTACTTCTCATTCCTGTATATACTGCAATCATGCTAGGAAAATTGCTGTTAATGGAAGGCAACTTGCATTGCATTGCATCGCTGAACATAGATTTTCTGCAATAGTGAACAGCATCACTGCTGAAGAGTTGATCCCAGAAAGCTTTGTAAATAGAATTAAAGAAACTCTAGATGAACTTGATTCTGTATTTTTCAACCTGGAATCGAGTTTTAGCAATGAAGCTGTAACTTTTTCTCACCTTTTCGAGTGTTTTCAGTGCCACTTCAGTACTTCAGTTCACAAGGAACTGTACCTGCACAATAGAAAGTTTCACTCTAAGAATTTGCTGCTTTGCATTATGTGTAAATCAAATTTTTATAGTTATAGCGAACTCATCTGTCACTTGTGCCCTGGTTTGTATGTCTTAGACTATGATGTAAAATTTCGATGTTGTATGTGTGTCAATGATGACTTACCGAGTTCTTTTCGACTTATGGTTCACCTGCGCAAGAGACACAATATATGTGATGTGTGTTTAGAAACTTGTCATACTCAATATCGTCTTTCTAATCATGTGTGGAAACATAAATTGCATCATTTCTGTTATCGCTGTGGCATTGCATACCGTAACAAGCCTGACATCACAAGGCACTTGTTTTGGAAACACGGTACAGAGAGTGTACTTTGCAAGAAATGTGTTCAGAAGAAATGGCCTCATGTGTACCACTTTTGTGTACCACCTGCTAATTTTGCTTGTGAGGAGTGTGGACTTACTTTCACCAAGGCTGTGTCTGTTAAAGTTCACAAAAGGATTCATAGTAATGAGAAAAAGTGGGCATGTACATTTGAAGGATGTGAAGAAAAGTTCATTTCCAAAAAGTTGATGGAGAAACATGAGAGGAGGCATTGGGAACCTTCTGATGAAGTTAAAGTTGAAGAGAAGGTTGAAGAGACTAGAGGAGAAGGGGTATGTATCATCCTTCTATCTAAACTAGCTCATACAGTAAAAAGAGTGAAAAAACTCTCCTACAAGTTTTTGAAAATTTGATATTCAATTCAAAACTACAATAAAATGAGGTATTATCTATTATCTCTAAAATGAAATTTTCTAAAAATGACTTGATGCTTTTTTTCATAGAAGTTACTAATTTTGAGAAATTCAGCTCTCAATTCATAATAAGTTCAACAGTAAAGTATCAGAAGTGTTTTCTATGAATTCATCCTAAAATACCTAATTCATATTCATTAACTGTCCATAAACTTTTTTTTAGTATGAAAGTTCTCACTATCCCCATTTTCATCATTATTGATCACATTAACATATTTATAGTAAATTGCGAAATTAGGATGTGATGATCATGAAAATAGTTGGTTGCACTTGCGGACCCAGTGTGAAGTTGGCATCTACTTTTCAGCAGTCACTTTGATTGCTGCGGTCAAATTACTAGTCTAAAAACAAAATAATGCAACCTTGAAATTCACAGATTATATCAGGAAACATTTCACAAACAATTTTCATCCATTTGCAAAGAAAGTGAGAGCGTGTAATTTACCTCTGAAAAATACTGTCAGTTTGAAAATGAAAATTTTGTTAGGAGACACCTTAGGAATCAGTTATGTTAATATTGTCAATTTGCAAAGGCGCTAAAGGGGTGCAATTCACCATCCCGGAAGATAAAAAGTCCATTTAAAACAATACTGTCAACTTGAAATTCAGAGGGTATGTTAGTAGAAATCTTACAAACAATTCTTATTTTTTATTTATTTATTTATTTATTTCAACGGACAAGCCAATTTTTACAATTATCTTTTTATAAATTGTACATGTGCTTACAAACTAAAGATACATCAGATGTTTTTAATCGATTTTTTGAAGGATAATAATGATGAATTAAACAATTCCAGGTTAAGTTGGTAATGATTTGCTGATTTCTATATCCTACATATTGTTTCATTCTGACCATAATTGGTTCTACAAAAAGGAATTTTGAAAATATCACTATTTCTGGTTCTTCTATCATTCACAGAGAGAGTAGTACAAAGCTCAACTATTTCTGGATAATCAATATAGCCGTTTAATACTTTGTGGACAAACACAAGATCTGTTTCAAGTCTCCTATTAGTGTGATCCATTTGCAGAGAGAAAGTAAAGGTGTATAATCTATCCCTGAATAATGAAGTCCAGACATAAGTCCTTTACAGAGTATATTGGAGACACCTCGTTAATCTATTATGTGATTTTATTAATTTGCAAAGGGTGTCATCCACCTTCCAATAAAAAATACTTCATTAAAATACTGCCAGCTTGAAATTCACAGATTGTGTTAGGAGACAACGAAGTATCAGTAGTGATTTGAATGTAAAAGTAAAAAATACTCTTTTTCTCAAAAACTAATATCCCTTAAATATATACCCCATTCAATTTAAACATGATTTAAAGTTGTGTGAATTCTATTTTGTGAATCTTCTGGGGCAAGATTCAACCACGATATATACATTTTTTGAAAACTGAGCAAAATTACCCGTTTGTGAATAACCGAAATAAATAATGATCGCAGAAAGGTTTTTAGTATCAGAGGTTGGCTACACTCCCTCATACCCTTTGCAAATGGATGATACTAATGACGAATATAATTGCCGTGTGTAATTACATTCAATGGGAATAGATTGCACCACCTTATTCTCTTTGTGATTTAATAAAATTACCATGGAAGGTTTCTCGTTTCCTACATACCATGTTAATTTCAATCTGGTAATATTCTTCTAAATGGACTTATGTCCAGTCTTTATTATTCAGGGGTAAAACCCACAAACCACTTTGCAAATGGATGAATCTGGCTGTTCGTAAGATGTTTCTTAATATACTTTATGAATTGTAAGCTGGCAGTATTTTTATGAAGGTTAAGAGTTATTGTTTTTTCACCGATGCCACTGGGAATTTGACTGCTTGATAAAATATAGGTCCAGTACTAAATTTAGCATTCTGTAATTTTTTCAGTTGTTCCAATTTTTCTATTTAATGAAAATTTTGGTTTCACATAGCATGTCTTCTTCACAATGGAGGTATCCTACTTCTTATGACTCCAGTTTTGTAAACCAACATGAATTTTCAGTGAAAAAGGAAATATTACCAAAATTAAACACAAATACTGAAGATTCGATTCAATTTTATGTGGAATAAAATCCAACTAAAATAATTTTTCTTATATTTTAATCAGGTGATGAAAAAAAGTATATGATTATTTATAGAGCTTATATTTTTGATTTGCGATCTTCAGCTGGGCTATTCTGCTAAAAGATTCAAAACTGACTGAAACTTTAGTCATCCTCAACAGTCTAATAATCTTTTGTTATTATATGTTCAATTTCAGACTTATTTTTGGTTAAACCTAATCCAAATTTCATAATTTTTTTTTGCTATTTTCATTAAAGACTACTAGGTAGAGGCTTTAAATGTCTAATGCAAATGCTCAAATACATATTTTTTCAGTAATCATTGATATAAATTATTCTAATGAGAACACTTACCACACTAGAACTAACACATTTTTCCCAAAGCACGTGAAACATGCATCAAGAAACATTGCTTTTGTTCTAATATGGTAAATGTATTTTCATAATTGTCAGAAATTTAAGTTTTGATAACAAAATTTTTTAAATAATACCATGAATATAAATTTGTATATTGTCTTTATTCTTGATGAATGCCTATTCTAGACAAGTCTTTCATTATGCAACATTATTCAGGAAGAAATTTCGTTCTTGAAAGTCTTTCGCAATGTAGTATTGTTAAATATATTCTCATCTGCATTATTAAATGTTTTGGGGAGTAGTTAGTAGCTACTTTTCAGCTAGTAGCTGCTTTCCAAAATAGAATTGTGAAATATATTACAGTTATTAACCTCAGTATAAACTTTTTTTTTGTATTCTATATTTGTATTTTGTTTGTGTTTTATATTGACTAACAACTGTGATATTTCAAGTAGATGTTGTATATTTATTGTAGTACTCATACTTTGAAATTTTATTCCTGAGTTTAGTTGACTAACACATTGTGGTGTCGTATTTGATTATATATGTATTGTATTAGCAGTTTCATTGCTAAATAAAGGATTTATTTAAGATAATCTTAATTGTTTACTAATTGTTGAACATTTAAAATTTATTTTGTTAGTTATATCACCATATTACAATTTTTTTTCTTGTGATTGGTCCTATGCAGAAAATTATTTCTGGGTATAAATTTGTCAAACAAAAATGAACCAACTTGTAGAGTAACAATCACAATTACCCACATTATATTATATGTAAATAAAATGACATGCCTTTATTTTCAGTCATAAATATGATATTTATAATTTTCGACAAATATTTCAGGATGAAGAAAATAAATCAGAAATTATTAAAGAAGAAGAAAAACCTAAACCAAAAATAGACGTCTTGGACTTACCAGCTTTAAATCTTTCTGAAAGTGATAGTAGTGATTCTGAAGCAGAAAATATTGCAAATAATGATAAACCCAAACCAGAGTGTACTCTTCCTGATACAGAGTTAGAGCCTCCTGGAGATCTCCCACCAATCAATATCTTACAAGAAGATAAACCTAGTGAACTACCCACAGAAGAAGAGAATCCTACATCTGTTATTCAACACATTTGGGATAATTTCAAAAACTACCAGGAGAGTAAACAGAAGTTAGATAGTATGTATACTGAACCTACAGAAACAGCCAATGAAACTTCTGACATTCCAGTACCAATAGTTGAAGAAATTTCATCAGAAGTAGCATTAAGGTTTGATTGTGTTTTTTATCCTCATAAGGATTATATTCACAACATTTTGGCATCTTCTGTTAGTGTCTGGAGTTTTTCAACTAGACTAGTTGGAAAACTCCAGCAGGAGGGTATAGGCAACACTTGGTTGCAGAAACAACACAAATACACGGAGTTATTAACAGAAGCCAGCCGCAATTTGTGGTTTCGTTCAGGTCATCTCGGGTTAGGGGAGGCAGCTTTGGTTACCTGCGTGACATCTGGGTTCAGTATTCAATATTGACAACAGTCGTTTGCTGAAAAACTACACGTATGCAGGAAGCCACCAACAGGAGCCGACCGCACATTTGTGGTTCTGGTTAGGAGACCTATCATGTATAGGCAACAATCAACCTGACCATGTAGGCAGCTATAACTACTTGCGTGACATCCAGTTCTGATGCTGAGAATAAGTGGAAATAACACTAGAAAATGGGTCATAACACTATTGGGCTCGTCAGTGCGGTGTAGCTAAGTGCAAGGATGGGCAATACTTGTTTGCCGTAAGAACTTTAGTCTTTAACAAGTGAAATAAATATCTTTATTATTGTGTGGTACGTAACATAGTAACCAAGCATTACAGAAGTTTGATATTGGTTTTTTCTGACTTTACAATTATCAATATTTTTGGCTAGATAGATATTTATGCTATTGAACATCTTCTGAACCTTAACACAACAATAAAGTTTGTCTGCCTCTCAGAACACTGGCTAACACAAAATGATATTGATTATTATAATTTTTCACACTTCAGAATGGTAAGTTACTTTTGTAGGAATAACAAAAAAAATGGAGGGTCTTGCATTTACATACACAATGATATCAATGCCATTGAGCTCACTGATATTATTAAATACTCAACTGAACAGATTTGTGAAGTCTCAGCATGTTATGTGAAACATCTGAATCTGATAATAATAAATGTATATAGGACTCCAGATTATAAAAATCTGGATCAGTTTCTATTTTTGATGAACAAAATATTAGAAATTGCAGATAATTTTAAAAATAATGTATGCATTTACTTGGTAGGTGATTTCAATGTACATTTCAATGATATCAATGATTTAAGTACTCAAAAGATAACACAACTCTTCATGTCATTTGGTCTACATCAAATGATAAACGAAAAAACCCATATCAAAGGAAATTGTCTTGATAACATATTTAGTAATAATGATCTTGCAAAAGTATCCATGGTGCCTCTAGGACTATCCGATCATCCCTTGGGTTTGATAGCCAAAGTTGAAGTGGAGTCGAGTAAACACAGTGAAAGTAAACTATCAAGAAAGTATACAACCAATAATATAGAAACACTAAAGTCATATCTGCGAAAAGATGATTGGTCCAGTGTATATACAAGAAATGATGCTAAAGAAAAATTCAGTAACTTTGAAATCTCATTTATGTTTTATTATATTAGCTTTCCACTCAATAAAGCAAGATTTGAATCAAAGAGCGCATCAAAATGGATTAGCCCTGAGGTTACAGCCTCAAAAGATATTTTAATGCTTGCATATGATATACAAAGGCAAAATCCATCTGAACAACATAAAAACATCTATAAAACTTGTAAACGACAATATCAGGAGTCACTATTGGAGGCTAAAAAAGCACATTACCACAGTATATTTAGTAACAATAT